ACACCTACCAAAAACACCAAAAAATAACTGAAAAAAAAAAGAACACCATTCCTTTCTCTCTCCACCACCACTCCCTCACTCCCCGCCTCCCTTCCCCCCTTCTCTCCTCCCTCCTCCTCCTTCCCCACTACTGCTCCTTCCCCTCCCTCCCTTCGTTTCCCCTGCACCCCTCTCCTCATCTTCGTGGTGACTAGGGAAGGGAAGAGGAAGAGGGAGGAAAGTAGGGAGGAGACTGGAGGTTTGGGGGGGGGGGGGTGCTACTGGTAGTGGCTGGGAGAGGGGGTTGGAGAAGTGGTGGTGGGTGGTTGTGTTAGGGTGGATAAAAAAAATTTTAAAAACACCTCAACAAAGTTTTAAAATTTAAAAACACACCCGTAAAACTTTTAGAGTGAAAGTTTTTAATGTACAAAATTACAGTATGAAAAACACCCCTAAAAACAACTATTCATTATTCTTTTCTTTATTGCCTTGTGCTTATTCTACAGGATATTGAAATAAGTTTCTCCCTGGATATCCCATATCATACGCTCTTGCAATTGATTTATTTGCTTGAAAAAGTTTGAGATATTGTCAAGCATCTAGCTTCTCGCTTATATATGAAAAAAAATTTTTTTGTTGTTCTCATGTTATTCTACCCTTACTCCTCCTGTGGTTTTGGGTTGTAATTTGCCATGTAAGCTGTTCATTCAAATCACGTGTGAATCAAGGTGTTGATTAGCTGGGTTGCAAGATTATACTTTCTATTGAATATTAAGAGACTTGATTATGAAATTGGCATTTTTTTAATATTCCTGCAGAGGAGAGATATCTGTTATTTGCAAGGATGTAAGACTGCTGAAAGAAAACTTTGATGAGCGTCTTCCACTTAGCAATTCTCTGACTTCCAGCCAGAAAGGCTGCATTTTAACTTCCTCAATTTCATCTTCAAGGAGCGTGACATCTGAACAGGTGAATCGGGTCCATGACCATGATTCATCAGAGACCACAGAGAAAACAGATCTGACGCACTTCTTTAGTGAGCCGGAATTTATTCGAGGGGAATTGGCTGCAGCAGATGATGAGAAGGAACTCGCAGATGAGGGATGGGAAATTTTTGACAACCGTGATGCTTATATGTAAATTCTGAGTAAAATGTTGGTGGAGGTTGCCTCGAGGAGACGATTTGAGTTCTGTGGTTGTATATTTAACTTCAGCGTCTGTTTTAATCTGAAATAAGTTTCTGGATATAATACTAGAGCATCCAACCTTGCTGTCCTAGTGCTAGTATTTTATAATCTTGAATTGGATCCGGATATCTGTCTGTGACTTCCAAATTCCAATGTGTACAGTTCGTGTATATAAACGAATATTTTGGTTGATGATTTTGTGGTAGCTCTCAGGCAGTCGAGATCATAATTAGCACATCGATCAACAAATGGGGTATGCAGTCTTACTGGTGAGCTGTTATAAAAGGGGCTGAGCCCTCAGTGTTCGGAAACTCCTTTAAAGACTTTGGAACTGCTTTTCCATTATATCGTAACCAATTTGATGAAAAGAACAATCAAAACATTCACCGTGAAAATAAAAAATTTCCGAAAGGCGCAGCCAAAAGGACATAATAAAAAGATTGGGTTTTTCTATCATGTGTTCGTGATTTCGTACCGCGGCATGTAGCCGCGACTAATGGAGACTGACTGACTATACGTCGTGGCCATCTCTGGTCAAAACTGAACTATACAAGGATGACCAAATCATGTGTCAAAATTTACAGCACTTGAGGAGGAAGCCATCTGATCAGTAATCACACTACACTAGGGTGTTGAGTTGTGCAGTGTTCTCCTGCCTGCTACGCTACATACATCTGAAGCTCAGTCATGCCAGCATACGAGCAGCACCGTACATCTCCAAATGATATAAAGGCGCGCCCGCTGCTCTCTTAGCGGCTTGGAGCATCTGCTGGATGACCGCACTTTGGAGACACTCCTGAAAGACAGCGCATTTGCAGCCATGGGATTGGGAACTGGACCTGTTCTGTACTACTGTAAATTGGCGAGAGCGAGCAAGGGAAGCTGTTGAATGACGATTTCAAGGGATTCTTGTGCCCTTAAATAGACGGGTAGTACTGAAATTTATGTGTGACTGTAAGAGAGGCAACGTGTGGTGAACGGTGATTGATAATTAAAGGTTGGCCCTACGGCTTGGGGTGCACTGCGCTAACAGCATATGACACAGTCGTTGGCAAGCCACCATTCTTGTTCCCCAGCCAACCTCCATGAGAATGACTTCACCGTATCCGCTTCCTGTATAGGGTCATCGCTGTCTCACATGTGATGTATATACCCTTTTCAACCCACATGCATGTGTGTACGGATGGATATGGTTTTCTTATTTTGTCATGGCAAGATATACTGTCTAAAAGTGTTCGAGCGACGGAGTTAGGGAGAGGAGGAAGTCAACTAAGCAGGTTAAAGAATAGGGTATCTAGGTAGGATTGAGCCAATAAAAAAATGGCGGTGGGCATTTATCCCAGACCAAACTTTGAGGTCTGTGTTAGAGGAATAAATGCAAGGAGGACAGAATGGGATCAGAAAGACACAGGTAGGTTTTGTTACACAACAAAATACAGAAGGGAACTTCCCTCCCCCCCCCCCCCCCCCCCCAACCACCAAAAAAACAAAAAAAACAAAAAAAAGAAGGGAAAATCGTACTCCACTTGCAGTGGAAAGAACTGTGAACCATTGGCATGATGTGGTTAGCTTTTCTTTATAGCTGTTGATGATCTGCAGAGTAAACAAATTTCCTCTTAAGATCATTGATGGGTTTAGGTGGGAAGTGGGTTTGCCTCGAGATTTCAATTCTTTTTCCTTTTGTAGAAGTTACTCCTTATCTAGTAAATAATAATATTCCCTCCGTCCCACTTTGATAGTCTTGTTTTCCTTTTTCGTCTGTTTCAAATTGTAGTCCACTTTCCCATTAAAAAATGTAGTAATCTTTCAAATTGTCTAAAATACCCTTATTAAATATCTTGTTATTAATGCATTATTATTAAATACTAACCCGCTACATTGAATACATCGAGTTTTTTCAATACGAACCCATTAGTTGTAACTGATATTAATTGGCACTCTTTGTGATTAGCATAAGGATATTTTAGAAAATTATTAATCTAAATTTATGTTTCCAACCAAATTAATTATACTTTCTTAATCTGTGTGAAAAAAAAATCAAAACTAACAAAACGGGACGGAGGGAGTACTAGAATACAGCAGCGTTGATGGAGATCCATGTCCCCGGGATGCTGGCGCAGATCTTTTCAGCACCGATTTGACATGTCAACAGACAAGATTTAATTATCAGATTAAGAAGCGGATGAACTTGTGAGAAAAGCAATAATGCTGCATTCGCGATTTTAGTTGGGATTTTAATTTTACCACGGGAGTCGGCACGAGTAGACGACAGACAGACGCTATACATGTGTTGTAGGCACACGTTCCAATTAAATTGGAGCAACCAAACAGACTACGGTCTCTCCCAATCAATTAAGTATCATTTGTCCTCCCTCCCGGACAAATCAGTTTCTTCAAGTCATTTTTATGTTCGTATAACAAATAAAAAATCATGCACCACCACCACCACAACCACCACCACACATTTTAGACCACACTTTCGTCGTCTTTCTGCTTTTCCTAAGCTCCACAAGAATGCTCTATGGCAGACAGACATTCCCCTTGAAGCTTCCTCTGGTTCCCACTGGATAGGAGTAGAATGACCGACCATTCACAGTTAGCGAGATTAATAGAAATGATTAAAAAAAAATAAAAGAGAGAGACTAGGCTAAACGCATATATACTGACTGGCAAACTGAAAACTGAGCAAATTTTCATTTAGATGATAGATACCACCGAAAGTAGCGGTCTTATGTATTGTGAAATGATCGGAGTACCAGACGACGACCGGTTCAAAGGCGTTGCTCCACCAGGCACAAGATTAGATTTTAGGGGCGGCCCCAAGCCCCCCTTCTCAATCGTGTCCCAGTGTTGCGTGAACGAACAGCATCTGAAGCTTCATCACCTTATCTACACTTCTAACCTAAAGCAACCAACAATGCAAACTAAGGAAGTAGTATCTGGAGCGCAACTCCGGCCGCCCTAAGAGCCTTTCATCATTTGCCGACTTTCATCACATCTCATGACATTGAGTCATGACTTCCGGTTTTGAATGATTTGTCAACGGTTAATACCAGAGGGTGATGGATAAAATTAAGACAACACTGGGGAAGAGGGAGGAATTTTCGGCAGGGACCCTACAACAGTCTGGAAAGATTAATTTCACATCTCGTACATTAATTTCACTCGCATCAACTCGAAAACGTTTTAAGCAAAGCACTCTATACCAACCACGCCGGGCAACAATATTTGGTCAACCACGCCGGTCGAATCAAGGAACCCAAGTAACCTGTGTTATATTAGACTGTGCTTACCGGGTAAGAATTACATAAAATAATTTATCCACGCAACGGGGGAAATAAAAAAGAAAAGACAGTAGTAGATTCTAATTTAAAAGCTTCTAGTATAATAATTTAAGACGGTGGACGAGACGGAGTGCTTGTATTGTATATACGCTTTTCAAGAACCATGGAATACTCATTGGTGTCAACCACACACAGGAAAATAAGAAATTGACGTATTATTAACAGAACAGACCCCAGAAGCCTCGACGCTCTTTCATTCATCAGATACACTACTGCCCTCCATTTATCTGTTGTGGACCTGAATTCAAAGCCGTCAAATATCCCCCAATGCTTTTTGAATATCTGCCTGCACCAGAAAATGAAAAGAGGCTGCATGTGAAATGATATTCCAGGATTGGAATGCACAGGATAGAACACAGAACGAGGCCTCAGGTAGGGATTGTGGGAGGACATATAGTAACCAATCAAAACTGGGTCACCCCGACTTTTCTTAATTAGGCGGTGGCAAACCATAAAGAGCAACGGATGGGAACTTTTCCAGAGCATGCATTTCCTTTGTGTTACTCGGACTCGGGTCCGTGTCCCAACCGTTTAATTCATCAACTACCTAAAATTAGGATACAGGAACACTTTTAAGGACTCGGACACGAGTACTTGGGCACGGCCAAATTTCTAGTAAATATATGAATTACATGAAAGCAGCCAACATACAAGTCATAGCTCAGTATGGATTGAAGAATTCTAAAGTAACCAACAAGTCATGACTCAATCAGGATTCCAGTGCAACAAGTCTCCTACGTCCACGAGTTTTCTCACCCATGTCTCCTCCTCTTACATCGACATCACACCTCATAAAAGTCAAAAGTGTCCAAAAAATTCCCAACCAGTGTCGTGTCGAGTATACACAGATACTTCGGGGTCAAATGAACAGTCAACGTAACATAGCATTTCCTAGAATATGGTTTAACAAGAACTTGGAAAAACGAGAGACATTACGAACAAAGCAGATTAGGCTTGTAAGGTTTAAGTAATTCAATCATATTTCTCAGGAGGCATGTAACATAAATGCTTAACTTCAGTTTCTTAAGTACAATGTAGCCAACTTAATGGAATTGTTTCTTTCTCTGAGAATGTAAACAAGAAAAGTTGTCGGAACTCATGGACTCAAAAAGTTAGGCAGTGATAGTTTAAAAAAAAGAAAAAAAAGGCTGCAGATGCCCATTCTAGCTTCTACCCCTTATCCATTTCCCACTTACAGCTCAAGCAAACAAGTATCTCTGAGCTATAGTTTTTTAACTCAAAAATCAGACCTTTCTATGTCAATGCAAAGAAGCTAATACTGCAGTCCCTTTTGTATTGATAAAATTGCTTGTTTATGTCATACCAAATCAGAATAAAATCCAAACTGAATATAGAAAATACAATTAAAAGTTATGAAACAAAAAGATATTGACATGTAATGCTATCAATCCACTAAAACGTGTTTGGTGTGGAGATCAGAGGATGAGAGTCTAAAGATCACCAGAAATCTAATTCTTTGAAATTTGGTGACTAGGAAGACCTAAGTTATGAACAGCATCTAAAGTTCTCAACTAAGTGGTGACCAGCATGCAGCAATGTGTACATTGAAGTTACTTGGAAAATTTTATAGACCACAGCTATGTGAGACATGTGAAGGGCAGAATGGTTTAGTTTGCCTTCACTGCTTGCCAACGTGCACGATGCCATGAGTCGCAGCATGGGCCATATAACCCTTCAATATTTAACATGGTTCACGTTTATATACCTCAATTGCTGATGGTTGAGTTGAGGTGCCATAACGGCGAATAACTCGTCCTTCCTTGTCAACAAGAAACTTGGTGAAGTTCCACTTAATGCTAGACCCAAACCAACTACCTTTACTGGCTTTCAGGAACTTATAGACTGGTGCCGCAGTTGGACCATTTACACGAACCTATACAATAAACTATTCATCATAATTATGAAGAAAATTACAAGGGCGAAATGAAAGAAATAATTCAAATTCCTTTTTTTTCCTTAGGCCCGAATCCTTTCTTAAGCTTGAGACGAGGAGCAGAAGTGGGAAGCAATTAATTACTTGTACAGTAGAGTCCATGTTATAAAATGACACAAAAGCAAAATCAATCAGGACGATCTGCCCCATGTAATTCAATAAACCCTCGTACCCCTGCGAAAATTGAAGGCATTATTGTGAATGGGTCATATACCACCTCTACTATACTGCTCCCTCACTACTACTTTGTATTTTGTAGAGCATGACTCTATGCATGCTCGATCCAAATATTAGTTTTTAACTCAAAAATCGAGTAGGGTCTGTGCAATACCTCACGCCACTACATGATGTTTATGGGTAAGTAACTAAAATCCTTCTAAACAGTCTTATAGGTGAAAACATACAGTGATTATTTTGTCAACCACACAGTTGTCTTAATTTACTAGACATACAAAAGTTAAAAATCCAAAATAACAGAAAGTTCTTTAAATTTTCTTGAGGGTAACATCACAGACGATCACTTGAACTACTAGTGTGAAGCGCGGTAGACTGCTTACCTTTGAAAAGATTGGATACTCGGCCTTGAATCGTGTGCATGCAAATTGTTCAGCTTCCTCACTTGTTCCAGGCTCTTGCTTCAAGAACTGATTGCATGGGAAGGCCAATATCTCAAAACCTGTCAATCATGATATGAAGAAGTTCGGGATACGTAGTGCAGCCACAAGAGATGCAACAAATGAGGCAAAAGTAAATCCGACCTTTATCCTTGTACTTGCTGTATAGCTCAGTCAATTGAGTGTAGTTAGAGTTAGTGAATCCACTGTTTCAGCAAAACCAATAAAGGCCCGTATGTCATAGAAGTAAAAGCTCGGATCTTTACATGACAACCATCAGTTAAAAAGAGTAGCATATAAAGCAAATTTCTCATTAGAAAAAACACAAATAGAAAAGAAACGTAGCATTTAAATGACACAGGAGTAAATTCCAAGGATAATAGGTGATTTTTCAAACAACCACCACTACTTAAAAAGGCCAGCAAGTTGCATCGGGAAGCACCCATTACAATAATCTAAAATTTGAGTGAAAATCAAAGATCTCCATCAAACTGGACATTACCATACACTAGAAAAAGGAAAGGAAAGAAAAAGGGTACCATTTGGAAGCAACATTAACAACCAGAAGCACCTTCCCCTTGTAATTGCTCAGGTCGACATCTTTTCCTTTGCTATCCTACATCAATCAGCGGAAAAGAAACCCTAATTTCTCAGAAACAAAAATTCATACTGCATTGATTATGTAAGAGAGATGCAAAGGAGTATACCTTAACAGTGAATTCGTGAATGGACGTCTGTGGGACAGAGGGAGCGGAACCCATCTCTGCGGCCAATATTACTACTAGTGGATTCTCTTTTTCGATGCGAAAGAGAATATTTCCATCTACGTTTTCATAAATGGATAATTTTGAAAAGGGTTTTGCAGCTTTAAAAATGGAAAGGGAAAGGTTCGGCCGGTTCGGCAGCACCGCTGAGAGTGGAGGAGGGCTGGGCCCCCGGTGTCGGGTTTTATGATAGCTGTAGGCTGCAGTATCGGTCAGCAGACGCGGAAACATTAATTTAACTAATTTTGTGCCCGTTCGTGCGAACGGGAATCATCGAAAAATAATAAACTATTTAGTTGATTTTATAAAAATGTCAATATAAAATACAAATTTAATGTATAATCTATTATAATTTATCTTAAATATATTACTATGTGCACATTATAATATAAAGTATTCTTATAATATAAATTTGAACATCTAATTCAGTGAATAATAATTCAAAAATTGAAAAAATGGCATTCAATAATATTATAATATTCAAAAACTTGAAAATAAATAAAAAAGTGCAGTAAATAGTATCAAATAATATTTTATTCTTCAGAAACTTTTTTTTGTTTTTCTTCTATTTGAACATTCTTCTCGATCTGTCCGTGCAAATCAGCATTTGTTGATTTTCCATTATCGCTGCATGATAGTAAAGCAGGATAACTAAGTACTGGAAAAAAATGACTTATCGCATTCAAGATTGTGTATAACAATACGTAAAAATTATAATTTAAGAAAGTAAAATAATATATTAAATATACCTTCTCATGCAAATCTTTTTACGAGGATTCCATTCCTCTGTGATTTTTGTTGAACCCTCTGATGAATGATTCATATGAAGTGTATTGAAATGTTGTTGATTAGAATCATCTATTATATTAATTGGGATCTGGGAAGAAGATACTTCAGGTTGGTATTAGTTGTCGGTTCCACCAATCTGATAATGATTTATCAAAATTAAAGGCAAAAATATTATGTGAGATATAATATGTGAAATATAAGAGAAATTTATTGCACATTACCTGTGAAAGCATGAAATGCGTTTCCTTCCCGAAATCACAGTGGAACCATCTAGTCACTATAGTTTTATTACTACCTTGTTCCAGATTGTAATTGTTCAACTTGATTTGGAACACAAAAGATTTCCACGTGATCTTATTTATAATTGATGACACAATTTCATTGCTAAATCCTTCCAGAAAATGAAATGCATAATAGACTTTTTTTTTGTTAGAATATTCAACGGCTAAGATAAGTGTCGGATTGTCTACTATTATTAAAAATATTTTTAAACATTAGATGTAAGTTTACCTTGTTAAATTCTTCAAGAACAAAAGAAAGTTTGTGTTCTATTATTCTTTTAGTTTCTTGATCAAATATAATAAACCAAGCACTACTGGTTGCATCACTTGCCAAGACTTTTAACATATATATGTATAAATACACATATTTTAAAAGTTATGTTTATGTAGATATTGTAATAATTAAAATGATAAAAAGGTTAACGCCTACGACATATCTCAATTTAGGATACTCAACATTTTGATTGCAAGCATTGCACACAAAATTAGATCCTTCTAATGTCACTTTTCTTTGACATTTGAGACATGCTTTGTAGTACGGTTGACTATTGAAATCAACCTTCAGACTTGTCACTTTGGAAGGGTAAACCAATTCCTAGAGAAATGAAAAGATCTAAGCAGTCAATTTAAATAATAAATATTTTTAATTGTGAAAACTAATGTGCTATAATTGTAACTTGTAACTTTAATTGTACCTCTGTTTGAACACCGGCCATTATTTAATATATTTCTGAAGGATGTAAAGCCTCAATAGTTTGAGTAGCAGTGCTATCAATGCTAATAACAATCTTATCTTAATTACTTTTATACAATATATATAAAAATATTAAACAAACATTTAATAAAGATATCAGTGCTTTCCATGCCTTGTTGCCATTATTCTCGTAGGTCCACTCTGGTAATGGTATATTGTATGAAATATATTTCATTCAATAGTGTCTTGAATGAAATTTTAAAAATTCGTGATTGATTCATGATTCCTACATAAATACCATTAAATAAATTAAGTGTAAATATAAATGTGCAATGACATAATAATGTTAATTTGAGCTAAAATAAAATATTGTACATTTAATTAGCCACACTTTTTATGATATTTGATGTATTAAAGTGGGTAATAATTTTATAGTAAATTGTATTTGTAGAGTTAGTTGACTATATATTATGCCCATGAAAATCTTGTTGCGTTGACCCTTGAACACCAATATACATAAATTTTGCAAAAGGAACCAAAATAAATTTTCAAAACTATGGAGGATAAATATGATTGACTCATTGTAGGGAAATGCAAATAGACTATATACGTAGTCAATCCTTGTTTTGTAAGACTATTGAAAACTGTATATAGCACATCTGTTGACCTTAGTCGATCAATCTTTGGTTTTGATGATTAACAAACCAAAATGTAGATTTGAGTTAATGTTTTTATGTGAGTAATTTGTTAGAACAGATTCTTGTGGCATAAAAGAAGAAGCTAAAACAGGGCACTCATGTCGGACGCTATCGGACGTCCGAAAGGATGAAGAACATCAAGAAGAAAACTCTGTCGGACGCTCATTGATCGCATCGGACGTCCGAGAAATTTCGCAAAGATTTGATGACTCTCTGCCTACGTTCGGACGCAGGGTTCGGACGTCCGACAGGTGGTTCGGACGTCCGACAGGCACCTGTCGGACGTCCGACAGGCCAACGGCTAGTTTTGACAGCATTTAATATTTGACCGTTGGAGAGCCTTTTGAAGCCATTTCTCACCTTCTATAAACAACCCAAGGCACAAGAAGACAAGAGACTTTTGCCAACACAAAATACAAGCTTACAAGTGAGATTTTTGAGTAGAAAGATTCTTTGTTGGTTGTATAAGGGGTTGGGAAAGTTGGGTTGTGAGGTTGCTCAAGTGAAGGTTATTCTCTAGGAGGAGTAAAACCTTGGTGAAGGTGAACCTATCACTTGGAGTGGTAAAACCTTGGTGAAGGTTGCCTCATTTGTATAAAATAGTTCTTAATTGGGTGAGTGATCTTTCAAGTGTAGGTTGTTGAGGGTTAACTAGAATAGTTGTAAAACTCCTTGGCTCAACCAAAGTGTGTTTGGGGTGAGGAAGGAGTGAGCCTTCACTTGTACATCTTGGTTAGCATCGCCATCAATTGAAGAGGCTATTGGATTGATATTTGGTTTGCATTTCTTATCTTTTCTCTTTAATTAAGTTTTCTTTATTGTGCTTAAATTTGATATATCTTTGTGCATCATTGTGAAATTGTTTGTACTCATTGGGTTGCACCAGGCACTTACAATTGGTATCAGAGCTTGGTCTCTTTTGATCAAGCTTAACCGCTTAGAGTAAAGATCATGGCAACCATAAAAGTTTCTTTTTTAGAAGGGCAATCTATTGATAGACCACCTATGTTTAATGGTTCTCATTTTAGCATGTGGAAACAAAGAATGATGATTTTCTTACAATCTGTTTACATTGAATTATGGTATGTGGTAGAAGATGGTCCTTATGAAGCTAGAATAGTTGACTCTATCACCAATTTGAGTAGATTAAAGACTAGACAAGAATTGAATGAAAAAGACAAGAGATACCTTTCTTTGAATGCCAAGGCCATGTGTATATTGTACAATGCATTAGATGTAAATGAATCTAGTAGGATTAAAGGTTGTAAATCAGCTAAAGATATTTGGGATAAATTGTGTGTATTTCATGAAGGTAACCAAGATATTAAAGAACAAAAGAAATCTTTGCTTGTTTCTCAATATGAATTTTTCAAAATGCATCCTCTTGAAAATGTTGATAAGATGTGTAGTAGATTTTGTGACATTATTGAAGATCTTAAATTGTTTGGAAAAGAATATTCTTTGGGTGAGAAAAATAGAAAGATTTTGAATGCCTTGCCAAAAGAATGGGAAAACAAAATAAATGCTATAGAAGAGGCAAAGGATTTAAATTCTATGTCCATTGAATCTCTTGTGGATACCCTAACCTCTTATGAATTAAAACTGGAATTCAAAGTGCAAGAGGAAGAAAATGCAAGAATGTATAAGAGAGGCATAACTTTTAAAGCATCTCAAGTGGGGGATAACCCATCCTTCATGGGTAATGAAATCATGGAAGTTGACAATGATATAACTCCTCACATCAAAAGTTTCAAGAAAATCTTCAACAAGAGATGCTCAAGAGGAGATTGCAAAATTACATGGGATGAATGCAATTCAAAAAGAGAAAAAGAAGAGTTGGCCCAAATGGCACTAATGGCCGTTGGAGAAGATGAGGTAAGTTCTTATCACTCTTCTTGTGATGAAGATAATGAAGATGATGATGTGAAAATTCTTATGATTAAAATGCATAAAAGTTTGAGAAAATCTTATGCTAAAAATAAAGATTTAAAAACAAAAATAAATGATTTGTTGGAAGAAAACTCCAAACTGTTTCAAGAAAACAAATGTTTGAGAATGGAAAATGATGATTTAAAAAATCAAAAAAGTGTTTTTGATTGCAAAAATAATTTGAAAAGGAAGTTAGAAGAGAAAACAAAGTTTTATGAAACAATTTTTTACTTGATATAACATGTTGTTATACTTTTAACGACTATTTGATTACTTGATGGATCTATTCACCTAAATAGAATAACACTTAAAGATAAGAAAGTAAGTTTCCCATCTAAAATAGTAAGTTAACCATAATAAATTAGTAACTTTTATACTTCAAAAGGTAAATTGAAATAACTATTAAACTTACTTTTTAAATAAATAAATTACTACTTTATATCCCAAACTTACTTTTTAGGGAGTAAGTTCAATTCAAGTAATAGTAAGTTTTTATACATAAATAGTAATTCTTACTGATAACATGGTAAATTTGATTAACAATCACAACTTACTGATTTATGGGACACATGTACTATTTTAATTTAAAACATATTTCAAACTAGTAATAAAAAATTTATTTGAAATAACAATAAAATGTTTTATTAATGATTAATGCTTATTACTTTAGTTAGTAAGTACTCGTAATATACTTATATAATACATGATTATAGGCATAATTTAAACATTTTTTTATTTATACATTCTTAAATACTATGAAAAAAATTTTGACTTTTCACGTAATCTCGTAAAATATGTAATAAAATTTTGTCATATTATAAGTTTTTAATCATTTTCAATTTTTGAAAAATTTAAAAGTTTGGATAACAATAACAACAAATCTTCCTAGTTATAAATAGAATATCACTTGTTTATATATCACAATTTTTACAATTTAACACCTATGAATATAATAAGATGATAAAATTTTAATAAATTTACATCTGGGACACAATAAATAAAACGAGTTAAAGCCCAAACAAAATGAGAAATAATATAACAATAAAAATGACAAAATTAGTATAACAATTAATATAAGAAAATCAGTATGATTTGGACTTTTTTTCTTGGGAGATTGTTCATAAAAATGGGATCCAGCAATTATAAATGAAAATCACATGCATATATAATCTATTGTATAATTTAAATTAAATTTAGTTCACGTATAAAATGGTCCTAAAATAATTAGTACACTATGATACAATGTTATTTTAACAATTTAAAGTCTCAAATATCCATGACATGCATATGAGGGATATTTTACCATATTTGTATTTCACATCTAATCATTAAAGTTAATTTGAGGAAAAATATTTTTGACAATAGAATTATTTTGAATTTGGCTAACAAGTTGAGATTTTTTAAACAATAAAAGTGAAATATTTTGGGAACTTAGCTGTTTATTTTCCCATAATTAAAAATTGCTATATTTTAGCAATTGTTGCTATTGACTTTTCATTTTGTAGACTAATTTTTATCAATGCAAAATTAATTTTATTAACAATAATTGAAGTTCCATTGATCCAAGGATTGACATTCTATTTTTATTATTGGGAAAATCGTCCAAAACGTCCCTCACATTTTGTAAAATGACTTTTTTCGTCCCTCACTTTTAAAAGTGTAATTTTATATCCCTTATATATTCACATCGGACAAATTTAGTCCCTAACTAGGTTTCCGATCATTTTTTGGCCGGAATCCATCATGTGCAAGGCACGTGATCATTTTTTGAGGGTAAATTTGTAAAATTATATTTTCTGAAAATATCCCAAAATATAATCTTAAAACTCTGCTACAACAAAATTTTTCAAAAGCACCCCAAAAAACAGCTATTTTTTGGATGACATACTATTCTAAAATTTTTTTCAAGCACAATTAGTTATAAACTTACCTAATTCAGGGAGAGAGGGAGGGGAAGGGGGAGGAAGAGGAGGGAATTGGGTAGAAGAGGTATTATTAATGAAACGTTTAAGTTCAAGACACTAATATATGTATATAATTCACATAATATATAGGAATTACACAACGTATTCTCGTTTACCTTCTCTAGGTGGTAGCATAGTCCCGCCGGTGCTAGTCATCTCTGGGTGGTCAGTATAACCCTGCCATTGCCGGTGCTAATTTGTTAACCAGCGAGAGCAAACCCAACTGTTGTTAGCAAGTTTGTAAAGGGCATTTTTAAGGGTGCTCAATGAACCAATACGTTTAAATTCTACCCAATATATCTTGTGTACAAAAACAATAATAGAAATAGAAATAATATTAGGTTAAATATTTACATATAAAATAATAAAGGAAAAATCGTCCAAAACGTCCCTCACATTTTGTAAAATGATTTTTTCGTCTCTCACTTTTAAAAGTGTAATTTTATATCCCTTACATATTCACATCGGTCAAATTTAGTTCCTAACTAGGTTTCCGATCATTTTTTGGCCGGAATCCATCACGTGCAAGGCACGTGCGTGCAAGGCACGTGATCATTTTTGAAGGGTAAATTTATCAAATTATATTTTACATAATCTGATCTATAGTCCTCCACATTTTATAAAACAAATTTTTTCGTCCCTCACATTTTATAAAATAATTTTTTCATCCCTCACATTTCACAAAATGAATTTCTTCATCTCTCACATTTCAAAAAATGAATTTTTCCATCCCTCACTAATTATGTATGTGAGGGAAACCCTAAAAAAAAATGTGTGTGAATACATTTTGTTTAAACACATGTATATGTCTATTTGATTTTACTTAATAATACAAATAGCATAAATATATATATATATGTGTCTATTTGATTTCACTTAACAATACGAAAACCATATATTATACGTGATTATTTGATTTCATCCGATATTAGCTAGTAAATAATCTTGCATTCATTGTCAAGTTGGCCAATAAAGCTATTTTCGATCAAAATACAATAAGAATATGTAAATTAAGGTTCTATTGGTAAATATTAGTCATAATCATACAAAAAGAGAAGATAGCCCACAAGAGAAGATAGCCCACAAGTTGGGCCCAATTACATACATGTGTTTATGCTATTATTATTAAGCAAAATCAAATAAACATATATATATGTTTAAAAAAATGTATTCACACACATAATTAGTGAGAAATGAAAAATTCATTTTTTGAAATGTGAGGGATGGAGAAATTCATTTTGTGAAATGCGAGGGATGAAAAAAATCATTTTATAAAATGTGAGGGACGTAAAAATTTATTTTATAAAATGTAGAGGACTATAGATGAGATTATGTAAAATATAATTTTACAAATTTACCCTCAAAAAATGATCACGTGCCTTGCACATGATGGATTCCGGCCAAAAAATGATCGGAAACCTAGTTAGGGACTAAATTTGTCCGATGTGAATATGTAAGGGATATAAAATTACACTTTTAAAAGTGAGGGACGAAAAAAGTCATTTTACAAAATGTGAGGGACGTTTTGGACGATTTTTCCTTTTGAAAAACACTTCCATCCAAACAGTTAATATAGAAAATTTTAAAAATATAGAAAGAAAATGATGAGCTAAGCCTTGGCTTTCTCCCCAAAAAAAAAAAAAGAAAAAAAAAGAGGCAAGTATTAACACGCTGTAAAGATCAAGTATTAACACATCATACAGAATAGCTCGATAGACTCTTGTTATTTTGTTGTAAACATCATAGCAGCATATTGACAATTTATTCATTATTGTATTTGTAATTTGTCATCGTAAACAAATTACTAGTGGCAATTTTTGACATGACACTGCAACACGACCCCCAATTAACAAATATTAAGACGATCCAAACTCAATTAGTTCATTGGTGGGTTAACCTATTAGCAAGACGAATGTGAACAGGTTGGGTTGGATCAACACTTACCCAATAAAATGGCTAATTTATACTCCCTCCCTTTTTTTATAACTGACGTTTAAGAAATTTGCTCTAGTATACTTTTATCTGTCGTTTTATTATCCCCATACAGTATTAATTATTTTTTCACAATTTTATCCTTTTATCTCTCTTTTCCAATATAGGGTTCTTAATTACTACTCTTAGTAATTATTGCTTCTTTTTAGAAACATTTAGTTTGGTGGGAGTTAGTTTGCATTGCTTTTGGCTTAGTAAAACAGCACCATTTAGTACTCTAGTGAGAGAAAACATGGGTGAATTGGACAATTAATGAGGGTACAAAAAGAAAGTAGTGTACAGATTTAAGCAATGAAAAACTTTTTTTAATTGGTGTGCAAAACCTTAAACGTCAGTTATAAAAAAAGGGAGGGAGTAGTTTTTAAGCGCTACAAAGACTATTTTGAGCAATTGATAACAACTCACTACAATCAAATTTGGCTTACATATTTTAATTAAAATTTTTATGGACTCAAAAGTTTTATATCTTATCATATATGGGATTATTAGACTGCATTTTTGTTAGATACTGAAGATTTATAACTTATATTATGTATATAATAAATTTAATGTTTTACTATGTATTGCAATGTTAAACTTTATTTAATTCTTTTAATGAAAACTTTATTTTTAAGATTTTGGACTTTGTTTTATAACTCGGAAGCTTTATTGTGTATTTTGATAATAGCAAATATTGGATGGATTATATGATAAAATGGGGTAAAAGTATGTTAATAAGATGTTAAGAGTTGTTTTCAGCATAGGTTAGTACTAGTACTCAATGCACACTCAATGTGTGTGTGCAATCAAAAAATACATAATATTTATGATAATATATTTTAATAATTTATTACTGAAGCAAACTTTAATCTTCTAAATATTTTTTCATAAAATAATTTTATATTGATAATTATAATGCTCAGAAGTAGTTATATTGAAAACACATACTTAAATAGTTATAAATAATTATATGCAGTTAAAATAAATTTTTATAAGAAAAAAAAGCAAATTCATAAAGCAACGATAAATATTAATCCCAAACCCCTCCTCAGGTTTTATATATAATGTAGATGTTAATCTTGTAAAACAGCGAATTATGTCAAAATGATTTTAACCGTATAAAATATTTAATAGATTGTGTGGAGTGTTACAACTCTACTTGTATATGTAGATGACATCATCATCACCGGGAATGATTCAATTGAAAGAGAAACACTCAAAAAGTGTTTAGCAAAAGAGTTTGAAATTTAAAAAAAAAATGGAGAGTAATAATAGCTAGCGTCAGTCTGAATGTTTCCCTCTCTCCTTTCTCCCACATTGGTCCAGTGAGGATTGAGTGACGAGAGTTTAAGTCCCTTGGTCCAACTTGAAAGTCAGCAATTGCCTTTTGAATTGGATTGAAGATTAGGTTTAAAAATTTCTTCTTCTCTATTGTTGGAAAAAAAAAAAAAGAATTTGAAATTAAAGAACTAAAGAGGCTGAAGAAAGTAAAGACAGAGCGGAGATTTTTCGACCCAAATACAACAATGACACAACACAATCCATTACGACCCGTACACAGAGTGTCCATAGAAAAAATTAAGCACAGATGAGAGTGACATGATGCCATTAACACTGTGGAAAGTTTGTACACCTTTAGCGGATGCAAAGTGTTTAAATGCTAAAAACCATCCCCATCGACATTCTGGAGGATTGTTCAGAACAAAATCACAAGCTGGGCTCCAGGGCTCGGCCGTGGTTGGAATGCAAACAAAAATAAATGGGTATTCAACAAACAAAGTTGGCGTATGATTGCATTGTTAAGTTTTTCTCAAAATATATAGATCTTGAATAACAACCATCGGGGGAAGGAAAATAGAAAATCCGGCAGTTGGTACCATTTCCTATTGCAAGAATATTACACTGCACAAGGAACAAAATGTTTATGACATCGAGGAATCTCCAGCTTCAATCATTCTGATTAGCTGGGACGAAATTATACTATCTGGAATGTACAAGCAACATTTAGATTTTTACAGAGACTAAGCAGAGCCACCAGGAAAAGAAGAAAGGGTCGTCCTATAATTTTTGCCAAAAAGTTGATGACAAGTCCTATGCCACGCTACTGAAATAAATAGGACTACTAAAAGTTTCCAGAGTTTCAAAAAACTATATATTAAGGTACCAAACTCGCAGCCTCAGGGATACAGCTCCCTTTCCAATTTTACTCGAGGGGATTCATAAATACATATATACAGTCACGTAATGGCTATGCTGTTATTTCCCTTCGTGGACATCCTCCTCATCAATGGTACATATCTTATACAAGGTACAGATCAGCCAAAAATTCTCCATATTTTGAACAAGCCGCAAAAAGAAACCGGTTGCACCTATCAACAATATCCCAACAAATTGAAGGTTTCCTCATTTTTCTTTAACTAATTCAACCAGAGATACCAAAATACTGAAAGGAAGATGACAAGGCGGAACCATATACCATTCACTTGAAGCCATTGATGATTACTCATCTCGGTCTCCAGCAGTTGGGACCTGTAATACAGAGAAAACCAAAATTAGGCCAAAAGCACAATACAAACCGGTTCCCACCTGTAGAGTTTCATAAAAGCTGCATACAAGTAATGCAAACCATTCCCCAGCATGCAACCTTCAAAGTTTCCTTGTCTTTTGAACAAACTTCTTGCTTAATCAGCCCTACCTACACCAACTCGCATAAATTGGCCTTATATAGAGTCTATATAATAAATAATAAAAGGATAGAAAGCCACCTTCCACAGGATTATATGGCACAAGCTACATGGTAACCCCTATTAATCTCATGTTACCATGTGTCTACTGCCTTTCAAGTAAATTTGATGGACAACCTGTTACTACTTTTCTCCTTAAACCTTTGCATACGTTTTTATCTCCATTTTCACTTCTCATCAGCCATCAGAATCTTTTCACTACCAGAAACTTGTGCCAATCTCCCTATACCCTCCCTCAAGCAAACTCAAATAAATGTTGGCTTCCAATTGAGTAAAAAAGGACATTAGGCAGTAGTTGTAAAGGGAATATGGTGTGATATTCCTAGGAAAAAGTGCAGGAAAAATACCTCTAGCTGCCACAGGTATTGGACCCCCAGAAGGGGGCCTATGAGGCATATGATTCATGGCTCGGGGAGGAAAAGCCCAATGATTGCTTGGTGGTGCTGCTTCACCAAGTTGGCTGGAAAATGGAGCGGGTGCATAAGGCATTCTTGATCCCTCAAGATACCGTGGCCCTGAAAAGAAGTTTCTTAATTCTTACTACTGCCAGCCATGCAAATTGGAGGGGGGAAGGAAAAACAGAATGCAACTCAGAACACCGATAAAAGCTAAGGAGAATCTTTACCAGGAAAAGGTGGGGGAGCCCTCCACCGCTCTCCAATATCATGTGGTGCCAATTTCATCCTATCACAATCTCTGTAAAAGTTTCCATTATCAGTGTTCTGTAAATGGAATCTGGTGGGGTGGGACGCTGGTGGGATATCCCTCCTTGACTGTGCTCGATGATCGACTTGCATGTAGGAAAACTGATTAGATGGAGCAGGATGAGGCGGACGTAAATGGAAACCCTTGTTGAATGCACCATCAGCTGGTGGATTATTTACTGTTCGAACTGGTGGATGGGAGACAGGTGGGCTACTGAATGAACAATTAGTTGAGTTTGGTATTTGTTTTGGCACCTGAGAATGAAAATCAATATGGCCATGTGAAGAACATTGAGCTGTCTCAGAAGTCAAAAGGTTGACTCCTGGTGCAATAGACTGATCTGCAGTAGATTTTTGCAAGTCATCTTCTATGTTCTGCAAATCCATATTGCATGATATTAAAATTAGAAATTCTGAAATGTCCTGTCAATAAACTCAGCCATATGAAAACTGAGAACAAATATGAAAGGAACACTAATACTCTGAATTTGAGTTTACCTGTGAACAAGTAAAGAGCTTAGAATTAAGACTACTTGCAATGCAATCAGGCCTTTCAGATGGAAGAGGAAGAGACGCTCGAGGAACTGGGAGTAGGGGTGGAGGTGGGGGTGGAGGAGATACTGGCAGAGGAGGAGACATTGGTGGAACATCCTTGGGTAATGGAGGAGCAAAGACCACAGAAGCTGGATTTCCAATTGAATGATGTGATGCATGCAGAATATCAGTTCCCGCACTATGACTAGTGGAAACAACAGCATCAGAAGAGGGAGCCACATCCTCCATTTCAAGCTCACCATCAACATCTTCCAAGATATGACGATGCTTCTCAACTACAGGGACAGGCTTCAAATTTCCTTCAGATTTTTCAGTGTCACGTTCAGGAGTGACTGCCTCGAAACTCTCTCCATCAGAATCACTTCCATCATCTTCATCCCTCAACATAGGAGGCATGCAGAATCCAGGAAGTTGAATACTTGAATTGCTGAAACAACAGAAGAAGATTGAATAATGACAATCCAGTAGCTCACCCCAGAAATAAACAAATAAAAAGAAAAAGGAACGAGTAAAACAGGAATTAATAGACCATTGAAGATAGTAAAATTTAAACTACTTCCCTGTCGTTTCCTCTAAATAGTTTGTAATGCATAAAAATTTATATCAAACGAGATGGAGGAGCCATACCTTCCATATTCATCAACATTCATGCCCTCCATTTCTCTAATTGGATCATCAAATGCCCTTTCATTTCGTAAAGGACGACGTGAGAACGCTCTAGAACAAGATGAACCACAGAGAGAATCGAGTTCCCGGATATGGTGGCGAACAATGGATTCTGGGAGGATCCTTCTTTCCTGCCAGACCCTCAAAACCTTTCAAGTAAAATCACAGCAATGTTAGGAACTAAAATTCAAGAATACATGTACAAATAACTGTTCACAACATAGAACATCAATTAAAGAAGAAATCTTACTCACTTTCAAGCACTGCCTACGATTTTCCTGAGAACTACTTCCAGGAGGAGCAGCAGCTGACAATAAACGTGGCAATACTGCTAGAATCGCTGAAGGATATATGCCACCAACATCACCTGAAATTTTGACATTTCAGCCCAACTACCATATACAGCAATTAATGTAATAATGGAAGTCTTAACTGGAAAAAAAATCACCATATATTGAAATTCATAAAAAGATAAACATACCTTTCAAGCCCCTTGAGCACTGCGCAATAGAGTCAACTAGAAAGAATAAGTCCACTCTTCGGTGTAAACTTGATTCTCGTTCCAAACTCCGTGCAAGAATTTCTACCACCTAAGAGTGAATGAGAGAGAGAGAGAGAGAGAGAGAGAGAGAGAGATTTAAGTTTTCCACCAACATCAAAGGATGAAACTACCAACAATACTCAAATTTAATGCACACATTTAATCTTCTATGCATTACATTCATGTTCATGATACAGTTCATCCTACCTTAGGATACATATATTTCTTTAATAGATTGATTATCACAAAATACAATAATTTAGACCCCAACAAAATTGAATATACCACATGCACCTTTTTTCACTTTAAAATTGGAACATACAGAATTAGCCAAACCAGTTCGTCTTATGCCTGTATGTTCTACTATTTTGAAAAACATACAGAGTTGTGCAGGGTCCATCTACAACATGGACTTTTGATTGGATGGAGTAGTATTCACCATTTGAACTGCATTGCAATTTAACAACGGAAGAAATGAATTGTCATAGGAACTACAAGATCACATGATTTAACAATTTCATCACCAATCTATGTGATTTGCATCAATGATTTTGTAAGAGAGGAAATATAAAAAGGATTTGTACAAAGGCCATGCTTGGATGGCTAATTAATGAAGTGCACAATTTTCGGCTATTCATTGCGAAGAGTATATGCACAAAACAAACTACTAAATTTACACAATGAAAATGGATATAGGGTGTGAAAGGCCATACATATCCTTTGTAAAAATATCTCAAACGCATGCCCTTTCTATAAGAGTATCCAAGCCCCCCCCCCTCCTTTTTTTCCACAAATTTTCGAACACGGGTGTTTGTATAAAACTCATATATTTTCAAGGAAAATTTGTCATTTGATTAACCTTCCTTGTTCTTAACATGCAAACCATATTTCAGGAATTAAAAAAAAAATTTTGAAGTTTTGTATCTCTAGCTTCTAATTAAAAAAAACCTTGAAAATTGAACATCTCTTAAGGCCTTCAGGTCACACAAAATATGGCAAATGAGGAGCATATATTGTTATCATCTGCTTACAAGAACCAAATGCTCAATATAAATATATCAACATGAGCAATGGAACCCAACAGTTTCAAACTCAAAGACAGTCAGACATCCTTTCACTAAATGATAAATCCACTAGAACGAGTCTCTCATCTAAAATATCTGGGAAATGACAGGGAAATGACAGGACCAAAACCAAACAATAAATTAGTCCAATAAACCTAAATTAAAGCCTTCCAAACTTAAACTTATAACTTTTACTTGACTCAAGCATTAAAGTTTATCAAACCAAAGTAACAATGCATCTTTCCATGAATACTGCAATCCAAGAATCCCTCAGAGTCACCAAAATTGTTAACAAGTTTGAAAAAAAAATGAATAAATTGCTACTGCAATTGAACACCTAATTCTGCCCACCTAACCAACACTCCTGGCGGTAAAAGGATGAATTGATTTTACAAGTTCATTCAAGATGACCAACCAAGCCTGATAATCACACTTCCATTTTCATGTATCATAAAAACATTCATCATCCCAAGTAGGCCAAAGAGGAACATGCATGAACCAAGACCAATGAAAATTAGAGTAAATGGCATAAGAGGACTTTTAGGTATATAATATTCTTTCTGATTCATGCTTATCTCACATAAACCACTTAATTATGTTTCTTTCCAATAGAATAATCCTGAAAAAATTCTCATCACTAGAGCTTTTGTTTTCAATTTTTCTGATCTTGGACTCAAGATAACCTAGATTGTACTGTTTCATACAACCTACTGATCACCGGATCACATATCTTTCACTTATAGCTCAGCAGAACCAGCTGAGTTTAACTGGGACATACTTGATTCACAAACACATACAAAGGATTTTTCTATATTCGTAACAATCCTCTCCCACACTAGGTAAATAGCACAAGCAGTTTAACAGTAAGTCTGCTAACCTGATGCAACCTTAATTTCACTCCATGACAATAATCCTCAATTATGAACTTCCAAAAGAACCTTAAAAACCAAAACAAATAACTAGCATATATCCAGAACTATATATGTACAAACTCATAAATCATTGAAAGGAAATGCATTTTAAAAGTCGAACAAGGTCAAACAAGGTTTTTTTTTAGCTTGCTTACGATTCTAAACTGATCCTTTCAGTTATTAAATGACTAAAATTTTGACAGTTACTGGTAGCACAATGAAATAAAAATAACCAAATACACACTCAAGATCTTTGCTTTCTGAAACTAAAATGGTGCTTGATTAGGGAATAGGGAAAATGCACCAGATAACCCATTAAAATCCTGTAAATACATCAGGAGAAGAATCAAGACAACACCTCAATTGCAAAGCAAAGCCGCAAGAAAAACAACCATGGCATTTTTTTTTTGCCGACGCTAAAATGTGTCTATATTGCTTCTTCTAGTTGCCCAAAAAAGTATCCACTATCAACAGTCAAAGCTCATATGAACTATTCAATTCCATTAAGGGGATTTTCTTCTACAAATATGCAAAATTTTCAATTTCATACTTTGGTATATCTATAAAGAGGACACAAACTATAAATGTCCTCCATCTAAAAGGCCAGCCAAAAAGGGACAAAGGAAAATGACGTGAAGAACAAAACCTACCTTAGCAGCAACACCAAATTTTGCACACTCAATGGCACTACGCGTTGCTCGACCAATGCTTTCCTTTGTCCTTGTTAGTAATCCAAGAATAGACTCAAAAGATGTCAGAGCAACATTAGCTTCTTTGTAGTTCCATCTCTCAGCAAATTTTTGAGTCTCATGATGGGAATGAACAGCAGGGCTACAAGAACCATTAACTTGGATAGAATTATTAACTGATACAGGTGCATTGCTGGTTGAATTATGCGGTGTTGCACGTAAAATGAAGTCCAAACCATCAGTCAGAGATGATGACGACTGGGTAACTGAAACTGTTTTGTCCCCTGAATGATCATCAGAGATAGAATTAGAGTGAGAGTGATCTTGATCCTCTTTGCCATTAGTCATAACATCCATGTGAGCTGGAGATAACATAGAATCACAATCCCTTATGGTGGGCCCAGTTGCTCCAACATCCTTCAACCTATGGAAAAATTCATAATCAATTCCGTGTGGAAAAAAATTATAAAATTGTAAAACTTCAAAAATATATTTACAACAGTGAGATAGTTAAAAAGCATACAAGTGCTCGGTACAAAAAAGAAAGGTAATTAATTACTCAGTTGATAATCATAGATAAGAAACCATATCAAAATATGGTTGGCACACTCACAATTCATTAACTTGTTTCTTGTCCTCTAATATGAATTGACACGACTTCATAGTTTCATCAAATTTGGCATCTGCATTATCCGTTTGCATATTGGTAGCACTATGTGGTAACTGAATGGTGGCATCTTCCGCTGCTAGAAGATTAGAACTTAACAGGGATGTTTTATCATCAAGAGTTTCCGGAGACTTGCCCAAATCAGTTTTTCCATTTGTGCAACCACCTTTTAATGGCAAGACCGCATCCAGTGAACCATTAGTACTCACATGAGCCTCTTTAGTTGACAAAGATTTGGGGCATTCTAAAATTAAAGCAGCATCAATGAGGTCACCAGAAGAAGATTCTAAAAGATTTTTACCATCAGAATAATCCACATCATCTTTGCATGACTTACTCTTTGAGCTATCATCGCTGGAGCGAATTGCCACCACTCCCGAACATATCCTAACTTGTTCTATTGGCAAGTCAGACTGCACAGAAAACTCAGAGACACCATCCCGAGAATCATTATTACTAAGATTTTCCTCTGCTAAACTGACTCCAAATTGACTGACTGACTGTCTTTCCAGAGAGAACTTTGCGTGGTCATCTGACGACGAAGAAAATCCATTAGTGTCAGCATTTGTTGTTGATGGTCCATCTGAAGCTATTTGATTGTCTTCAGCTGCATTCGCTGACATGGCCTCCAATGCACGATGCAAGCGTTTTGAGGGAGGTAAAGCAGCTTCACCATCTAAAGAACTACCAAAGTGTTGATTCTTTCTTACTTCCCATAAGTCACACTTCATGGCATGAGAATTATTTAATGGTGGTGAATTTTCTACATCTCCTTTCACAGTAGAAGGGTTCTGATCTGTAGAACCATCTCCTTCCCGATCGGATGACACATGGATATGATCTGAAAGGCTATTACAAACGTCTGGCCGCTTCTCTTCAGTATCCAATGAAGTTTCAGGTTCACATCCAGTAGATGATGCCCTACCCATACGAACCCTAGCTCTTTTGACCAAAGGCAGGTGCTCATCACCATCTTCCTTGGGGAATCTTTCAGTTGATCTCTCTTGATCACCAGGCAAGATACGTTCACCCTTAACAAGATCAGCAACTGAATCTACCTTTTCATCTGGTCTAGCATTGAATTCGACAACCTCAGAATTAGGCCTTTTTCTATTAGGCATCCTTCTCTTTTTATGGATGCCATTTCTTTGGAAGTCAAGCCTTTGGTTCTCAACATTTCTTTGAGCAAGTTCAATAACAGAGTCGGGATGTGTATCCTTACATTCAGACTCAACAGTGCTGCCTTCATTCAAGCTCAGTGAATCAGAGTCCGCTGTCAAGATTTCTGAGTCATTCCCTTCAATGCTACAATTTGAAATCAAATCATGCAAATCCATATCATGGCCAGTTAAAACATCAGGTGATTTTCTAATCCTTTTATTTCTCCTCCCAGATCCATCCCGAAATACACTATCTGTGACCCCAGAGTGGGTTATGAAATTTTTAACCTTACTAGAATCTGCCCTGCTTCTAGCCCGTCGAGCAGAGGGAGGCCTTCTACGTGTGAAACATTTTTGTGACCTATTGCTCTCAACAATTTTTCTGTAGGAGTCAGTATTTGCCCAGGCCATTTCTGTAACAACCTCCTTTTCAGGCATTCCTCTGTCTGGCAAATCTTCTTGTCCATTTACAGCAGTACCACTCTTGGATTTCACACCCACATCACCTTCTTCTGCAGTAGAATGTGTCTTTTTCTGACATAAATGAAATGTTGTACCAGCAGCTTCACCATTTGCATAAGATTTGATTGATAGTTCCCCAGAGTTATTTTCACTGGCCAGCGTACCATCAACTGTGGTGTTTGCATTATTGACTTGATCTTGCCTTTTCAGCTTCTCATAGCTTTCAATTATCTCATGCACAGCACGAACAAAATCAGAACCTTTTCCATGACGTCTGCCTAGAAGAGATTCCTTTTTCTCTTCAGTAAACGCTTCAACATCAGCAGGATTACAGAAGGCTCTGTAACGACAGAGAAAAAACAAAATATCAAAAAATGTTGCATATATATATTTAACACAAATAATTGAATCCTGGCCTACAACTTCACTTGTATTTATCTACTTTGATACCATTATTTGTTGTCATGTGTTTGGTGTGCATGCTTAGTTTATTTGGTTTGAACATTTTGTTATGTTGAGCTGGTTTTTACATTTTGTTACAATGGGCAAAAGTCAATCAAACAACAAGGTGCAAGCTGCCATAGCCATCCAAAGAAAAGGAAGAAGAAAGCATGCTAAATCCCCACCATTCCACCATGCCATCAACTAAAAATAAGAAAGCCCTAACTTTCTCTAATAATGCCCCTCAAGTCTCCAAATTTTTTATTTCACCACAAAATTCAAACAAACCCAAAAAGGCAAAACCACAACATGTTATTCCCACTGAGAGGAGCAAAAGACTGGATTAGGAGCTGAATTTTAAGAAATCTAATAACAAAAGACGAGTGCATCAAACACCCACAAAAAAACTCCAAAAAGATCATCTGTTGAGCACACGTAAGTCCACGCAAACAACATTCTATCTGCACATCACCTAATTGTAAGTGTCTCCTGTTTGTTGTACCAATATGTCATCCTAGTGTCTTGGACATATAGTATGGTGAGAGACAAGTAATTATACTGGGTTAACCAGTGAGATAGTCCTAAAGGTCAACTGGAGTAAGAAGCAGACCGAGTAACAGGAAAAAAGGAATGAGAGAGAGACGGAACAAAGGCCACTTGGAACTATCAATGTTTTAAGAATTTCCATCAGCACATAAACTCAGCCACCCCAAATTGACTTCTAACCTGACAAACTTGGACCTATTTAAGTTCTATATCAGTTATTCTAGATAAATCAACAATGAAGTTACATCATGGATTAACTTATGGACCAGATGTAGACCAAAGGACTACGCGACCCTTGCAACAATCCTTCAATTAGGTGCTCCAAGGCCAAGAAATGGTGTTTTGACTATCCCCAGCAGTGGAAAAAAGTTAACACTAAAATGCTTAGCAATGATTCGTAAGTTAGTCAATTACCTAGATTTCAAGAGATATACAGTGGCCTCCACGCTTAAGGAGCAAAACAAAGATGAAAAATGAAACCTCAAATGTCAAATAGATAAAAGAATAATACTTACCTAGTTATCTCTAGATAGTGCACAAAAAATTTTATGCATATAGCCACCCAATGCATGAACAAACAGACATCATGTGCAGATTAGACAAATGTAACAACATAGACTTTTACTGAAATGTAATACCATTGACGTATGTAATGCCATTTAACAGGAAAACCAAATAGCCACAAGAGAAGAAGCAATAGAACTCACATCTGTTGAGTTCCAAAAAAGTAGACAAGTACTTTCTTCCAGTCCGTAGCATAACCCCACTTCTCCGGCTCACTTACCTGCAAACAGCAACCAAGCAGGGTCAATTTACTCTTTCTACTGTATTCATTCTTTTGAAGAGGATTAAACAACATTCAAATTAACATGTATAAAATAACTATCGTCTATATAATTAGGCCAGGCGCAAAAAGAGGAATATATTGCAATTGCAATTGAAATGACTTGCCATGTTCCAAAATTCACTATCAACTACAGCGTGAATAAAATTGACTACTTGAAGAATGGGATAGCTAAATACTGGTGTTGGGACCTGTATTTTGCCTTCAACCCTTTTAATGTAGAGAGAGAGAAAGCCTATCATATTTTGTCACCTTAAAGCTAACAAAACATTCTGTAGCTAAACTCCTGTTTAAGTTTATGCTTCTTGAACACACTGATGGAACAATAATTCAAAATTCTCACATGCAGAAACACCAAATGACACTAGGCATTTCATTTAGCAAAAGCATTTGATCTAGATAGATTGATATATTTAGTCAACTTTTCACACGATTCTCCTTCTAAATGAAAATGATACAAGCCCACAGAATCACCTAAACAAACAAATGGGAAAAAAAAAAGCAAGGAAAAAGAAACCACAGCCTCTTGGCATCAAATTAATTCTTTTGGGAGGAAACTGAAAGATTGCCAGATTGCTAAACCGATAAAGCATGACATGTTCAAGTACTAGCTAGCAAGCATTTCTAGAGAAATGTAATTGGAGTGACACCTAAAGTAATATCATTAGAAAAATTCATAAAAGTAGTAGTGAGCTCATCTAACAAATAAAAACGAGCAGACATCTCTTTGCAGAATAAAAGTTGAGCCTTATTGTGCTTTTTGGTTTGACCCATACTGCGCTTCTGTTAGTAGTTCATAGGCCCTCCTTGCAGCAGTGAAATTTTGCCATGGTCCAGAGTTTTAAATAAACTAAATTTCCTAATTTCATCCTGTTATACCATTTTTATGTTGTATAGGAAATCTCAGTCTTACTCAATGCCAGAATAAGTCCTCGGACAACTCCTTATGAAGTTACAATACTGGGCCCGCCAAAGAAAAAATACAGATGCGAGATCCCCACCAACCCAAGGTTTACGAGACTCATTTCTAAGTCCAAAACGCATAGAACCATAAAATGTGGAGTTCCCTCTACCCTTTCCTTGAAAAATTATATGTTCAATTCAACTAGTTATGAAGCAAATACAGCCTCACCAAGTAAGCCACGAATAAAACCACTCTTTCCATCTAACAGAACCAGGAACAGCCATATGCAGTGAAAAGGGGACCAAATAATTAAACTTGGCACCAGATCCACAACCACTAACACACATCAACGAAATCTAAACCATATTCGGAAAATCTCGAGGAAATTATGAAAAGAGAAAAAACTTACTAGCTAAGTGGGGGAGACAAAAAAATATGAGCTAAGTTTTTTTTTGGGGGGGGGGGGGGGAGGGGAGCGGAGGGGAAGAGCGAAAGAGTCTAAGCTAGTTGGAACATATAAGCAGTAGACATACCGTAGCAGGCCAGGCCGGAAAACCTTTAACTTTGGCAAGAACAAGATCACCAACCTTCCATTGTCGGCGGGCCGCGGCGGCGGCTGCGGCCTTATTGGCACCTTTTCTTCGACTTGGCGCCATGAGGACCCAAAATATCAGAGAGGTGGGAATCAAATTAAGGGCATGCGGAGAGTAAAAGATAAAAAGGAAGACGAATTGGAGTAAAAGATAAAAAGGAAGACGAATTGGAGGTCTTTGTGGATGAAAAAACACCTAAATCACCCACTTCTTTATAGAAAAAGCAAGCGCTTTTCAACTTCCTAGGTTTTGCAACACAAGATTTGATCTTTCGTGGCCCAGGCATTGAAAGATCATTCGCTCCCAAGAAGAAAAAATAACCTGCCGGCGACCAAAGAAAATGTCGAATTGAGAAACCCAAAATATATAAAATTAAGGAAAGCTTGTTTGGGGGGCTTTAAAACCCTAACCCTAATAAGCTTGTTAGAGAAAGGAAGTGGAAGGGAGGGGCGGGGGCTGTAAGAGAGTTTTGTGGAAGAGAAGCGGATAAAAATAAAAATACAAAATAAAATGGAATACTACTGCAGCAGCAGCAGCAGCAGGTACACTACTAGTACGGTATATGAGAAGTGGTTTTTGGGGCTGAGGAGGATTGGCAGGTGCTAACTGCTAAGCTGCGCCTGCGCCGCGGATGTTTAGGTTAAGGAGTAGTTGACTAACGTGCGCGGTGTGCGGTGATTGTTTGCCCTGCGGTCCACCTGTCAAAGTAGTTTCTTTCTTTGAAAAGAAATTACTATTGTCACGTGACAGGCATACTTTCAAAATTAAGTCCATTATTACGTAGCTACAATATCGATAGCTAGCTTCTATAATGAATCAACCCAATTTTATCAAACGAACCCCCGATTTGTGTGATTAGTAGTCGGACCAAAGTGGTTCGAATACCCACTCCACTCCGTCAGGAAAAAAAAAAAATCAATTTGTGTGAGCCACCACTTTAATAACCACGCAAGCACTAGTAATTTTAGTTTGTCTGGTAGATTATTTGAAATAATTTTTAAAAAAATTTATTGTAATATTTTATTAATGTGTTATATGTAAAAAAAAAATATGATTAAAAATATTGTTACAAGTGAATCAATTTATAGAAATAATTTATTTTTTTTAAAAAAAAAAAACCGACGCCCCTCTGTCATCAACTGCAACTCAGACATCAACCTCTCAACTTCATTTTAGCCACAGACTACAGCAGATCGTCAACCGGGACGGAATTCCCGTCGCGTTAGCGCCTGTTGGCATGAACTTGGACAGAATTGGGCTAGCCCATTTCCTTACTGCTTGGACACCACCGGACCCACTCCGGTGGCCATCTGGTGGATATGCCATTGCCAAAATGAAATGCGAATAATATTGTTGTCCTTGTCCTAGTGGCCCAGCATATCCCCACAGATCATTTGACATGTGGGTTCACTAGCCTCTGTTGGGCCAATGGGACGACAAATACCAGCTGTGTCCATCGTCTCTCTTTTTTTTTTTGTGGGGTAAATAGAAGGGGAAAATAAAGGCTGGTAATGTCTCTATTATGAACATGGGCGCCTAGCAAAACGCAAACCTAAGCCAGATGCTTAATAATTGGTAAATTATTCTTGGTGCATCGATATCGAAGAAGAAGAATCTCATTAATAGATGTGCCATGAATAAAACAGCCACAACTTGAGGAAAACTGCGTTGAGATTTGAAATGGTATGGACACAATGCACTTTGCTTCCCCTCTAAGTTGGTTTTGTTTCGATTATGAAGAACTAGGAACATTGGAAAAAAGAATAAAAATAAAATCTTTTGAAGAAGCGCAGAGTAGAGCTGCAAACGAATCGAGCCGCTCGAGTCAAGCTCGAGTCGAGCTCGAGATTAATCGAGCTCGAGTCGAGCTCAAGCCAGCTCGAGTCAACCTCGAGCTCGAACTCGAGCTCAGATTATTAAGCTCGTTAGCTCGCGAGCCGGCTCGCGAGTTTGAGTATATATATTTATATATATTTTTTATTTTTATTTAATAATAAAATTACGTATATTATATATAAATATATTTTAATTTTTTATTTTCATAGTGAAATTACGTATATATCCTTAATATTTTATTATTTATTCAGAAAAAATTATTATTTTTTTTATTTTTTTAAAAATAAAATAATTTTTTTTTATTTTTTTCGAGCTCGAGCTCGGCTCGACTTGATTCGAGTCGAGCTCGAGCTCGAAAATTGCCAGCTCGTCGAGCTCGAGCTTGGTAAAATTTAGTCGAGGCTCGGCTCGATTAGCTCAAAACTCGACTCGGCTCGCCTCGTTTGCAGCCCTAGCGCAGAGCTTCCCCCGTGGAGGCCAATTGTGTGTTTTGTCCGCCCCAACATCAGGTGCGTGGAGGGGGGCTTCCCCAGGATTCGAACCCTGGTCCTTGTGTATAAGGGTCTTGGGGTTGAAGTCCTGGTACCACTTGGGCTATTTTACCAAGACTGGCAAGTTCATCATGCCCTTTTGTTTTGGCTGCTTAGAAACTCAGGAAGTTACCTTCTGTGTTCAATGGTGCATTTCTTTTCTAGTAGTGCTTTTTTTTAAAAAAAAAAATAACAATGAGTGTGTCTGGATAGAGTATTATTTGAAATATTGTTTAGAATAATCACTGTAACACTTTTTTTGTGATGTGATGCATGTGAGATAAAAAAATAGTTGAGAATATAAAAAAGGTGTTTATGATGCAAACTAAATATTATTTGGGTTAATTTAGCAATCCAAATATCTTATTATTCATATATTTAGCAATCCAAATATTTATGATGTACCTTTTTCAATTTCTTACAAATATCTTCTTATTCATATATACTAATAAATTTTACTTCAACATGAGGAGTTGAGAATGCCATATGATCAGTTATCCTTTTTCCTTTAGCTAATTGCCAAATTCTCGTTGCACGTTTTAATTTTCGTCCGCTCAAAACTCGTCTCTAAATATAGAAATAGCAGACAGAACGTGCTTTTCGTTTTTTGTTTATTTTTCATTTGCCGTGATTGCACATCTCTAATGGTAAACCTCATTCTACTATAAATACTATCAGGGTGGTGTTTCATTAATTTACAAAATAAGATGCTTTGGGAATGAAAATAAATATCAATCAATTACTAGGAGATTCTCGCATTAAGAAAAAAAACAAAACAAAATAAAGAAATTTATAAAGTAGAAATAGAAGAAGGAAATCGAGCCAAAAGCAAAAAGAATCAAGAGTAAGCATTTGAAAATCCTCAGCCCCCGTGTCATAATCAACAAAAAAGAGTACCGATGAACGAGACAAAAATATGGTCTATTAGTTGCTGGGTGGGGATCAAATCACAGAGTAAGTAAATCCAACAATTAACCAACGGGTTAGGGGTAAAAGGCGCAAAAAGTCAGGGGTATTAAAGAAAAAGCAAAAGCAAAATTTCACGCATAAATACTCATCAGTCCTCCACGCCAGGGCCTCGCGGTGCATGAGTCAGTCGGATGCATTTGCATGCCGCCTTCCCTCCTCCATTGCATCTACCTTCACTTAGAGATCATTTTCACCCAAAATCACAACCTCTTTTTCTTTAAACGAAAAAAACCTTGATCTCCATTCCATTCCTCTGCTCTTCCTTTTTTACATTCTTTTCCGTTGTCAAGTTAAACCTTTTCCTCATTTCATTACATTCCTTAATTTTGTTTTTTCCCCCCCCCCCTTTAATTTCCTCAATCTTGCATTTCTCTTCGTCTCCAATGAAAAGGGACTCAATTTTTGTAGCAAGATTCCGCTTTTGGATGGTGGAAAGGCGGATGTTATGAACATCATTCATTCATTTCAAGCCGAGAATCTTATCCCAAAGTTGGTTTGGCTTTCTAGGGGCGAGTTTTCTTATGCTCTCTTGTTTTTTAGTCCAGTTCTTTAATATTTATGCTGATTTTCCTGAAAATATGGACTTGTTCAGTTTTTATGTTTTCATGAAAGACTGCCATTGTTTATTGAAGCCAGTCTGTCCTCCCACATGTACTCTATTGCATTCACTTTACGAGGTTATGTTCATTGCATCGTTCATCAAATTTGATTCTAAACTTTTGATTGAAAGAGTAAAATAGTTATACTGTACCAAACAACTATCTTGCAGAGGCATCAGCATGACCACTCGTATTTTTTCACAAGAACGATCATTGCATGTACTATCAGCCATAATTAATAAGGTGTAATATTCGAAGCATTTTACAGGTTGAGTCCACATTTTCTTTTTGCCAAAGAAAGTGGGGGGCCGTTTATTTCTTCTCTTTCGGAGGGTTCAAAATACACATTTCAGGTATGTCAGAGTTCCTATTTATGTTGAATGAAGTTCATAATATGGCTTGTTCTGTTCAATTCTTTCGAAATACCATTTTGAAGCAATTGAATTTGGACTTCTGAGGTTTGACTTGGCCATAAATTAGAGTCACCATTTTCATGTTTTCATGGCTGATGAGGTTTGAGGCCTTATTAGCTTCTGGTGGAAATAAATTAATTAAAAGAATGTCTAGTGTAGAACTGGGCTTGTCTGCTGCAGTTGCATTGTATTGCGAACTTATCCCCTTGTTAAGGTTAGATTATGATATGTCTCAACTGTTTTCTCAAATTTGCAGGTGATACGTAGTAGTATTGAAGGACACTATGGCTAGTGTTTCAGATATTAGCGTTTCAGCTGCTATCAATCTTCTTTCTGCGTTGGCATTTCTTCTGGCCTTTGCATTTCTACGGCTGCAACCAATTAATGATAGAGTTTATTTCCCAAAATGGTATCTCAAAGGTATAAGGGCAAGTCCTAGAAGTTCAGGACCTTTTATGAAGAAGTTTGTCAATTTGGATATAAGAATGTATTTGAAATTCTGGACTTGGATGCCTGCGGCATTACGGATGCCACAACCTGAGCTTATAGATCATGCAGGGCTCGACTCAGCTGTATATATTCGCATTTATCTTCTTGGGTGAGTTTCTAATATTCAAGCCTATAACACGATACCGTAATTAGTATAACAAAGAACTCATAGACTCAAGGTTATACTATTAGCATCTTGGGGAATGGAATCAGCAAGTACTGAAGCAGTATAGAAAGATAAGTTTCTATTTTTAACGTTTCTCTAATTCACAAATTAAGTGCAGATTGAAAATCTTTGTCCCAATAGCCATACTTGGTTTTGCTGTCCTGGTGCCTGTCAATTGGACTGGGAAAACATTAGAGCATATTCACAACTTAACATTCAGCAATATTGACAAGCTTTCCATATCCAATGTTCCGTCAGGATCAGAGAGGTAAGAATCTAAACTACGTCAGTCCCTCTCGGACTCTTCTCTGTATTTGGTGTTCCAGGTATCAAGATGGTGGAACAGGGAAATTTTCCAACTTTTTGTTGAGTAAGCACTTCAGTGTATGAGTAGGTTATTGTCAGATCATGATGCAGTAAATCAGCAAATAAATAACACAAATCTATTTAATGTCTACTGTCAACTCTAATTGATGGATTGTGGTTGTAAAGCATATGAGAGCTGGTTCTCCTGTACAATTAAA